TGACCAAAGGTCGTTCCTGCATAAACATAAAATGACGACCCAAAGGTCCGTTGTTTTGAATGGATACTATAAATGACCAAACAGTCGTTTTGATAAACATAATACGCGGATCCAGAATGCGTGCTTCAGTAGAAATCGCAGCTCGGACCGGAAAGGGTCGTCTTTTGCACTATGAACATGAGTTCGATGCGCCGCAAGCCGCCGTTTGACAGAAATGTATGGACCGAAGCTCCGTTCCTGATAGGAACTTGAGTGCGAGCCGAAGCGTCGCTTTGACATGAATGAGTGGCGCCGAACGCCGTTTTTGACAGATAATGAATGGACCGAAGTGTTCGCCATTTGATAAAAAATGAGGGTGGGCCGAAGGCCTCTTTGACCATGAATGCTATGGGCTCGAAGGCCGTTTTGACCGTAAATTGTAAATGGATCTCGAAGGTCGTTTTTGATAGAAATTGAATGGCCGCCCGAAGCCCGTTTTTGCACGTACAATGAACGGGCTCGAAGGCCGTTTTTGCTATGAATGGAATCTGACGATGGCCAACAGGCCCAGAATGTTCTGGCGAACTACAGTCACTTGATTCGTGAACTCTCGTACTAGTATATATATCTATTTAAATGGAAATATTGAATTGGCGCCGAACCTACGGGCCGTTTGCGAACATGTTTGTTCTACATTGTTATGCTAACCTTCTGTATTTGATTTGATATTATTTCACTGGGCTATCGCTCAACAAGCTCATTCAATGCTGTTGTTGTCTGGTGAGCCAAAGAAGAAGTCCAGACCAGTCTCAATGAAGTTGTATTGGATACAACTAAGGTTTGAGGAGAGTCAGCCCTTGTCTCACGCCACCGCAGACCCGTTCTCCTTCGCCCTTTTGTTTATGTGTATTTTCATTTTGTCAGGTTGGCGAAGTTTTGTATATGTCTGCTTATAGTTTTTATGGGTTGACTTAGTTTTGGATGATCCTGTCTGTACAGAACCTATGTCGCTATGTTTCTGTTGTGAGTTATTAACGTGCATATGTATGGTTTGTTTTGATGTGCCATGTAAGCACAGCTCTATGGACAAAGTTTTAAATTTTGCTTCCCTTTTGGCCCCTTTACTCTGATGTGTTAAGTCTGTTTTGGTTTGAGGCCGTAGGTAATCTTAGGATTACTGGCCGGTTACGTCCTTAACCCATGGGGGCGGGTTCGGGTCGTGACATCATGCCTCTGAGACGGGGCTTTTGTCTTTTCTTGTTAAGCTTTTGTTATTTTGTAAAGTTGAATTTTTGGTTGTGTGAACTTAATGCATGAAGTTTAGCTAATGTATATAATCTATGTATGGGTTCAATGCTATGAATGAGAAATGTTTTATCTTGATCATTTATGCACCGCTCAATGGACTTTATTTATTGTCAATCTGCTTCTGCTTTAGGCCCCAATATATATTAAATATTTTGTGTTCCATTTGAAGCCGTAGGTAATCAAGTGATTACTGGTTGGTTATGATACAAATCTCTAAGGATAGGTCAGGGTCATGACATCTTCAAATCCCATGTAATCTTTATCCCCAACAGCCATTTAGCAACAAACTAGGGGATAAGACTCAACAACCTCCTAATCTTTAGGAATGGTTGAGGCTCCATGCTCCTCAAATAATTACTCAATTAATTAATTAAATAATCATAAAAAAAATCCTCTTTACACATCTGCCATTTCACTTAGCCTTGGTAGTGAGTCCCATAAAATCTTTCACTTCTTATCTTCCATTGTCACTTTGCATTAATAATTTAGGGAATTGCCACATAGCAATTTTTGCCAAAAATGGTACAAACAATGCCCCTCTTCGAGTATATTCTTGGTCCTGTTAAGGAATTAAAAGGATGTACTTGAATGCTAACCCCCCATCCTTTTGCCTTAATTTGAGTCCCAATTATGACATTCCTTGATGTGATGGACCGAAACCCCTCTTGACGAATGAAGTGAGAAGGATGAGTTGGCAACCAATTGACACGCCTGCCATCATTGCATCTGTGTCTCTTCCATCGCAAGAACTGAGGACATCGGTCAAGTGCAGGACTGATGACGTCTCTGCAGAGGTGGAAGTGACTGTGACTCCTTAATGGAATGATTAGAAGAGCATCTTTAGGCTTAATTTCCCCAAATTTCAACCTTGCCACCCAAAACTTGGCACCAGTCTCTCTAAGAGGCCAATTCTTCAAGCACTAGGGTTATAAATACCCCCAATCGTTTCTTCAATTCTTACTTTGCACCAAAAGCTTTCTCTCCTCTTCTTCGTCATCTTACCAAAGCTTCCATTTCTTCCTTTTCTTTGCTTCCATGGCTTTCAAAAAAAACTACTACCTCTAAGAAAGAACTGAAATCAATTGGGCCTGAGATTGACGCTCTTATCAAAGACAAGAAACCCTCAATCTATTCTGAGTATCTGATCGATCTTTCCCATTTTGTTGGCTCATCTCTCAAACACAAGCTAGGGCTTAGTCCTACTTTTGGTGTTGGCTTTCCTATGCCTTGAGAAGAAACTGCTATTTGAGCACTCTGTTCCTGCCAACTGGAGTCTCTATAAGTTGTCTTCACCCATCAAAGTTTGACATTCTCCCAAACTTGAGTATGTCGCTTAACTGGATCACATAATTGTTGCTAAAGGTTACGCTTGGAAAAAAAAAAAGTAGGAATCTATGATGCAATCATGCTGAGTCGATAATATTCGGCTTGACAAAGCCTTGTTCTTCTCTATTTCCCACTTTTGGTCCATCTCTACCAACTCCTTTCATCTAAGGACTGGTATGATGGCCCCTTGCAAGACATTGCCTTTTCAGCCGATTTTCGCCCCACGGAGATGAAGTAAACACTGTCCTTGTCTGCCAAGAAATTGCTTATGTTTATTTTGACAAGAAACTGCTGACTTGACTCCTCATTCTTTCTTGCTGTTCAGAAGACTCCAGACATTTCTGAGTATGAACACATTTCATTTCTAATTTTTTGGTCGAACAAATGCTTGTTTTGTGTCCCTTCCTAGAAAATTACTAAGGACTTCACAGAATTGGCTAAGGCTCTCTCTCAAGGCAGAAAGCTTGCTCTTGGCCCACTGGTTCTGGCTTACCTTTACAGAGGCGTGGCGGAGTTAAGTCTGTTCACGCTTGATCAACGGTTATGGACCCTTCTAGCTTATGCAACCCTAGCTCTGGGCTTATTTTCCAAAGTTTGCTCCATCCATTCCTGCCATTGTGCCGCAATCTGACTATTTTGGCCTCCGATTCCTAGAGGCCTACCCCAAAGCCCATGTGTTTGATGAATGCTTCACTTTTCTTGCAAAAAGCTGATATCTTGTGATGCCTATGCTCTCCTATTTTTCACATGTGATTCTGCCCCTTCTTAGCTCAACATTCATCCATCTAAAGCCACTGGTCAGAAGAATGAAAAATTTGAAGTCTAGGCTAGCTTCGTGATCTTAAGAGACCTTCCATTTGGCCTTAGCTTTACGCCAAATAACAGTAAATGTAGTGCAAAAATTTATAATGCCACACAATTCGCCCGTCAGTTTGGCATGTCTCAACTAATCCCTATTCCTTCACACTTGTCTCAAAATGACACATTTAAAGGCAGATTTGTCTTGAGCAATGTAGACATTAAGGCACTTAACTCTGTTTTTCCTACTTTGAAGCAGAACTTCCATTTCAGGGCCTTTGATGAAGCCCCTGACGCCACCATCGATTTTGATGTTTGGTAGGGAATGTACATCATGAACAACACTTCTGTTGACCTGAAGGCATTTTTTATTCGCATCTCTCCAGACCACATTGCAAGGATTGAGGATACCAAGAAGACAATCACCCTAAGTCCTGCCCATTCTAGAGGACAAAAAAAATGTACTATTTCCTTTCTTGACTGTTTCAATTCAGTCCTTTGCTTTAAGGAATTCTTTAAGTGTAAATGAAACCCTTTGAAATTTGACAAAATGGAAAAACTTTAAGAGGAAAAACTGACTGAAATTCTAACAAACAGAAAAATAAGGCAAAACTCATGCCTTACAAACTTTCCTGAAACCTTACCGTAGAAACATTCCTCCTTTCCCTGATACATCCTCTGGCTTTGCTAACACTCTTCGTGAGGAAGGAATGGATGTTTTCCTTCTTGAGAATGAGAAAGTAACTGTTGCAAAGACCAACGTTCCTTCTTGGGAAGTTGAGAATGCTATTAGACAAGGAATAATCAAAGTAGTTCATATACCCAATGCTGGTTAGTTCCTTTTCTTTCTGACAACTTATCCACCATTTGACTTGATTCTGACAATTTCTATACTCTGGCCTTGTAGTTGTTATACCTACTTCCTCTAATATGTCGGTAGAAATTGGCAAACAAAGCTCACTAGCAACAACAACAAAAAATAAATAAATTTAAAAAAAAAGAAAAAAGAGTAGCCTACCCAGTACATCCAGAATTTACCATCCATTTCTAGCAACTGAAGATCTCAATTTTTACTAACAAGTTGAAATTTTGTCTCCAAACCGGTGCTACTCCACCAGCCAAAAAAACCAGATCGAATTACAAGGCAAAAATTGTTGCCAATCCTTCCAGTTCTTTCTTCTCTCAGGTAAGAATTTTCTATCATTTCTGACTTTTTCCTTTGGTCTTCTACAGAGCCCTTTTTCTTTATTCCAGAAATCTCTTGGAATTATGGTGATGAAAACAACCAAGGCTCCAGCTAAAGAAACACCAACTCCAACCAAATCGAAGAGGTTCAAAATGGTACCACGCAAAAACCACACCCTTCTAGTGGATTCTTCTAGCTATACCACAGCTCCTCAGGCAGAAGATAATCCTCATGAGATAATCTTTCCACCTTCTGTAAATAAGGTAAAACTTCTCATTCCACAACCGACTTCCTTCTTTGGTTTCTTTTTCGCATCTTGCTTATTTCTGATCTTTCTACGTAAAAAAAGGCCCAAGAAATTGTAGCCACTCAAGGCGAAATTACTCAAGCCTTCAAAGCACCAGAACCTGCTCCAACCATCCCAAAGCCAGCTGTGGACTTGGATGCTTATTTTGAGGTTTTGTCTCAAAAAACTATTCCAATTGCTTCTGGGGCCTCCGGCAGTGGAACTACTTCCTCAAGCCGAGTCATGCCTTCATCAAATGAAGTTGAGAAGGCCAAGATGATCTGAAGTCTCTGCTAGCCTTGTCTTTCCCAGACGTTCTGGATCTAGGATGACTCCTAATTCTAACTTCTGCCCTGAAGGTTCTAGCCACCTCCGCACCCTTTGACTCCATCATTCAATCAGCTCTCTAAGAATTTTAGCTGCGAATTCTTGAACAAAGCCAGACTCACCTTTCCTTTATTTTCAAAGAAGGAGAAATTGATAAGAAATTTCAACGGTTAGCCTATTTGAAAACGTCATAAAAGATTATGTGGAATCTTACAAGAAACTGAAGGAAGCTACTGACGCTAAAGCCAATCAAATTGTCCATCTGAAGGACCAGACTGCCATTCTTCAAGTTCAGCTAGAAGACGCGGAGAAAGACGAAGGAATCCTGGCTACCTAGATGCAGGAACTATACACAGTTTCTTCACCAGTGAACACTAAATTCTTAGAACTAAATGCCCAACTTCCTGAACTTGCATAAACTCATGTCACCACCCTGATTGAACTACAAGTTGTGGATGCTCCTTGGAACATTCTCAAGACTAAACTGACCAGTCTCTTGTAATTCCTTTTTATTGCACCCTGAAACTTTTACTTAGCTTAGGAATTTATAGCACTTTTTGTTTTGTTTGGTCTGTGATGGCCATTTTTGCTTAGTCGGCCTGGTTCTAGACCAGGCCGTTTTGAACATTTCTGTACATGCTTAACTTTGTTCAGTTTGTTCAGGCTATTTTTTATCTGATGAATGCACAGAACTTTGCGTTGTTAACTCTGTCATTTCCCACATTGTTGGGTAAAATTTCTTCAAGTACTTGCCATTTATTGAATGTTTGTGTAATTCCCTGTCTAAGTCTTGAAACTGGTATGAACCTCCCTTGCAAAATTTGAAAACTTAGAATGGGCTCTCCCAGCTTGGAGACCATTTCCCAAACTCAGGATATTTTGCACCAAATGGCAGAACTGCCTTCCAGACTAAGTCATTTTCTGCAAAACTCTTCTTTCTAACTCTTTGATTATAAGCTCTGGCTACTCTCTGTTTTTGCACTAAAAGTTGATCTAGAACTGCTAATCTTACTTCATCAAGCTCCATGAACATAGGCTGATTGCACTCTATAGGAGTTAAACCATTCTGAAATGCAACTCTCAAGGATTTCACAGTAACCTCCATAGGTAGGAATGCATCATGCCCATAAGTAAGCATGAATGGTGTAATTCCTGTTGTTGTTCTCTTTGAAGTTCTGTAGGACCACAAGGCTTTTGACAGGACTTCATGCCAAATCCTGGGTTCGTCCTCAATCATTCTTTTAATGATGCCTTTCAGAACTTTGTTTTTTAATTCTACCTGGCCATTGCCGTGAACATAACATGGAGTAGAATGAGAGAGTTCTATACCATATTCTTTAGCAAAAGCCTGGACTTCTTCACCAAAGAAAATAGTTTCCCTATCGGCCACAATATGTTGAGGTAGGTCGAATCTGTGGATAATGTTTTCTTTGATGATTTTGATGATGTCACTTTGATTCATGGATTTCATAAGAATGGATTTAGCCCACTTTGTAAAGTAATCCGTAGCCACAACTATAAAGGAATGACCCTTAGAAGAAGGAGGAAAGATCTTGCTAATCATGTCAAAAGACTAACCTCTAAATGACCATGGTTTAACTATAGACTTCATAGAAGTTGCTAAAGCATGTTGAATAGGACCATGGGCTTGACAAGGTAAATATCCTTGGGCAAAGCTAATATAATATGAAAGAATAGTAGGCCAATAGTATCCATACATTCTTATTAGCCATCTCATCTTTCTTCATGCCTGGTGAGCCCCACAAATTCCTTCACGTGCCTCAGCCATTACTTTAATTACCTCCTCTTTAGAAAGGCACTACAGGAGAAGGTCATCTTCAGGACTCTTCTTGTAAAGTTCTCATTCAATCCAGACATAATGTGTTGCTCTCCTTCTAGTCTTTCTGTCTGCAGGACGTTGTGGATGTTTCAGGAATTTGGATATGGGAAAGCGCCAATCTTCCTCAGAAATCTTTGTCATGTTTACGTCCAGGATGGGTTGCTCTCTTGATTGAAGGCAACAATCTTTTCTAGATGGTGATAGGTCTTTGATAGAAACCTTGATGAATCTTCACTTTCGTTGCAACTTGAGCCATTTCATTGGCTTCATAGTTAAATCTTCTAGGAATGTGTTTAAGTGAAGCATCATCAAAATCCTCAAGGCATTGTTTAGCTTCCATAAAGTAAGGAGCCAAATCTTCACTATGGAATTTGTAAATAACCCCTAAGTGATTAATGACAAGTTGTGAATCCCCAATTACTTCTACTGTTGAAACTCTCATTTCTCTCAATATTTCTAGGCCAATTATCATAACTTCGTATTTGGCCTGATTATTTGAGCATTCAAAGTCAAACTGAAAAGAGAATTGTATCTTCAAGCCTTTAGGAGAAATGATTATGATCTCACATCCAAAAACTAAATCAGTTTTAAAACTATCAAACAGCAAAGTCCAAGGTGTGAAATGAGAAAAATAGGAAACCAGGCCGAAACCAAATTCATTGCAGATTTCTAAACAAGGATGGTTGGTGAGAAAATCTGCTAAGGCCTGACCATTTACAGTCTTTTGAGGAATGTACTAAAATGAAAATTCCATTAGGGCTAAGGCCCATTTACCAATTCGACCTCCCATTATGGGCCGAGAAAGTAAATACTTAATTAAATCAGTTTTGCACACTACGTAAACCAAAATAGGAAGCATGTAAGTGAAAGACATAATTTTTCCATAGGACTGTATTTACATTCAACCGGAGTCAGAAGCATGTTGAGATAATAAACTGCTTGTTCCTTTCCACTCCCACTATCCTGTGCTAACAAACTCCCAATGGACTTCTTTGAAGCAGAAATGTACAGCTTCATAAGCTTATTCTTGACAGGAGGAGTTAGGAGAGGAGGTTGTGCTAAGTACCTTTTGATGACTTCAAAAGCATGCTGGTGGTAAGGCTCCCATCTAAATTGTTCTTCATCTTTCAACTTTAGCAACTGAGAACACACATGAACCTTTCCAGCCAGATTGAAGATAAAACATCTAAGAAAATTGAGTTGTCCCAAAAGTTTTTGCAATTCCTTGTTGCAAGTAAGAGGCTTGGCTTCTTAGATTGTCCTTGTCTTGTTCTTGTCAACTTCAATCTGTCTCTGATGAACCAGAAATCCCTAGAAATTGCCTGTTGTTACACCAAAGGCGCACTTCAGAGGATTCATTTTCAGGTCGCATTCCTTCATTCTCTCAAAAGATTTCTTCAAATCAGCCAAGTGTTCTTTGTAGGAGTTAGACTTCACTACCACGTCATCAATGTATATTTCCATAAATCGGCCTATCATGCCATGAAATAAGGAATTCATGACACGCTGGTAAGTAGCCCCAGCATTTTTAAGGCCGAAAGGCATTACAACCTGTAGAAATTTAATGTATAAAGATAAATGATTGTATTATTGATTGATATTTGTTGTTATTATTACAATGATTCATGATTCCTATATATAGAAGAGGGTGAGTGTGTAGTAGGTAAGAAGTAGGTGAAGTGGAGGTGGTAGTGGTGTAGTGGGTTAGGTTTAGTGGAGTAGGTGAGATGGTAGTGGTGTAGTGGGTTAGGTTTAGTGGAGTAGGTGAGATGGTAGTGGTGTAGTGGGTTAGGTTTAGTGGAGTAGGTGAGATGGTAGTGGTGTAGTGGGTTAGGTTTAGTGGAGTAGGTGAGATGGTAGTGGTGTAGTGGGTTAGGTTTAGTGGAGTAGGTGAGATGGTAGTGGTGTAGTGGGTTAGGTTTAGTGGAGTAGGTGAGATGGTAGTGGTGTAGTGGGTTAGGTTTAGTGGAGTAGGTGAGATGGTAGTGGTGTAGTGGGTTAGGTTTAGTGGAGTAGGTGAGATGGTAGTGGTGTAGTGGGTTAGGTTTAGTGGAGTAGGTGAGATGGTAGTGGTGTAGTGGGTTAGGTTTAGTGGAGTAGGTGAGATGGTAGTGGTGTAGTGGGTTAGGTTTAGTGGAGTAGGTGAGATGGTAGTGGTGTAGTGGGTTAGGTTTAGTGGAGTAGGTGAGATGGTAGTGGTGTAGTGGGTTAGGTTTAGTGGAGTAGGTGAGATGGTAGTGGTGTAGTGGGTTAGGTTTAGTGGAGTAGGTGAGATGGTAGTGGTGTAGTGGGTTAGGTTTAGTGGAGTAGGTGAGATGGTAGTGGTGTAGTGGGTTAGGTTTAGTGGAGTAGGTGAGATGGTAGTGGTGTAGTGGGTTAGGTTTAGTGGAGTAGGTGAGATGGTAGTGGTGTAGTGGGTTAGGTTTAGTGGAGTAGGTGAGATGGTAGTGGTGTAGTGGGTTAGGTTTAGTGGAGTAGGTGAGATGGTAGTGGTGTAGTGGGTTAGGTTTAGTGGAGTAGGTGAGATGGTAGTGGTGTAGTGGGTTAGGTTTAGTGGAGTAGGTGAGATGGTAGTGGTGTAGTGGGTTAGGTTTAGTGGAGTAGGTGAGATGGTAGTGGTGTAGTGGGTTAGGTTTAGTGGAGTAGGTGAGATGGTAGTGGTGTAGTGGGTTAGGTTTAGTGGAGTAGGTGAGATGGTAGTGGTGTAGTGGGTTAGGTTTAGTGGAGTAGGTGAGATGGTAGTGGTGTAGTGGGTTAGGTTTAGTGGAGTAGGTGAGATGGTAGTGGTGTAGTGGGTTAGGTTTAGTGGAGTAGGTGAGATGGTAGTGGTGTAGTGGGTTAGGTTTAGTGGAGTAGGTGAGATGGTAGTGGTGTAGTGGGTTAGGTTTAGTGGAGTAGGTGAGATGGTAGTGGTGTAGTGGGTTAGGTTTAGTGGAGTAGGTGAGATGGTAGTGGTGTAGTGGGTTAGGTTTAGTGGAGTAGGTGAGATGGTAGTGGTGTAGTGGGTTAGGTTTAGTGGAGTAGGTGAGATGGTAGTGGTGTAGTGGGTTAGGTTTAGTGGAGTAGGTGAGATGGTAGTGGTGTAGTGGGTTAGGTTTAGTGGAGTAGGTGAGATGGTAGTGGTGTAGTGGGTTAGGTTTAGTGGAGTAGGTGAGATGGTAGTGGTGTAGTGGGTTAGGTTTAGTGGAGTAGGTGAGATGGTAGTGGTGTAGTGGGTTAGGTTTAGTGGAGTAGGTGAGATGGTAGTGGTGTAGTGGGTTAGGTTTAGTGGAGTAGGTGAGATGGTAGTGGTGTAGTGGGTTAGGTTTAGTGGAGTAGGTGAGATGGTAGTGGTGTAGTGGGTTAGGTTTAGTGGAGTAGGTGAGATGGTAGTGGTGTAGTGGGTTAGGTTTAGTGGAGTAGGTGAGATGGTAGTGGTGTAGTGGGTTAGGTTTAGTGGAGTAGGTGAGATGGTAGTGGTGTAGTGGGTTAGGTTTAGTGGAGTAGGTGAGATGGTAGTGGTGTAGTGGGTTAGGTTTAGTGGAGTAGGTGAGATGGTAGTGGTGTAGTGGGTTAGGTTTAGTGGAGTAGGTGAGATGGTAGTGGTGTAGTGGGTTAGGTTTAGTGGAGTAGGTGAGATGGTAGTGGTGTAGTGGGTTAGGTTTAGTGGAGTAGGTGAGATGGTAGTGGTGTAGTGGGTTAGGTTTAGTGGAGTAGGTGAGATGGTAGTGGTGTAGTGGGTTAGGTTTAGTGGAGTAGGTGAGATGGTAGTGGTGTAGTGGGTTAGGTTTAGTGGAGTAGGTGAGATGGTAGTGGTGTAGTGGGTTAGGTTTAGTGGAGTAGGTGAGATGGTAGTGGTGTAGTGGGTTAGGTTTAGTGGAGTAGGTGAGATGGTAGTGGTGTAGTGGGTTAGGTTTAGTGGAGTAGGTGAGATGGTAGTGGTGTAGTGGGTTAGGTTTAGTGGAGTAGGTGAGATGGTAGTGGTGTAGTGGGTTAGGTTTAGTGGAGTAGGTGAGATGGTAGTGGTGTAGTGGGTTAGGTTTAGTGGAGTAGGTGAGATGGTAGTGGTGTAGTGGGTTAGGTTTAGTGGAGTAGGTGAGATGGTAGTGGTGTAGTGGGTTAGGTTTAGTGGAGTAGGTGAGATGGTAGTGGTGTAGTGGGTTAGGTTTAGTGGAGTAGGTGAGATGGTAGTGGTGTAGTGGGTTAGGTTTAGTGGAGTAGGTGAGATGGTAGTGGTGTAGTGGGTTAGGTTTAGTGGAGTAGGTGAGATGGTAGTGGTGTAGTGGGTTAGGTTTAGTGGAGTAGGTGAGATGGTAGTGGTGTAGTGGGTTAGGTTTAGTGGAGTAGGTGAGATGGTAGTGGTGTAGTGGGTTAGGTTTAGTGGAGTAGGTGAGATGGTAGTGGTGTAGTGGGTTAGGTTTAGTGGAGTAGGTGAGATGGTAGTGGTGTAGTGGGTTAGGTTTAGTGGAGTAGGTGAGATGGTAGTGGTGTAGTGGGTTAGGTTTAGTGGAGTAGGTGAGATGGTAGTGGTGTAGTGGGTTAGGTTTAGTGGAGTAGGTGAGATGGTAGTGGTGTAGTGGGTTAGGTTTAGTGGAGTAGGTGAGATGGTAGTGGTGTAGTGGGTTAGGTTTAGTGGAGTAGGTGAGATGGTAGTGGTGTAGTGGGTTAGGTTTAGTGGAGTAGGTGAGATGGTAGTGGTGTAGTGGGTTAGGTTTAGTGGAGTAGGTGAGATGGTAGTGGTGTAGTGGGTTAGGTTTAGTGGAGTAGGTGAGATGGTAGTGGTGTAGTGGGTTAGGTTTAGTGGAGTAGGTGAGATGGTAGTGGTGTAGTGGGTTAGGTTTAGTGGAGTAGGTGAGATGGTAGTGGTGTAGTGGGTTAGGTTTAGTGGAGTAGGTGAGATGGTAGTGGTGTAGTGGGTTAGGTTTAGTGGAGTAGGTGAGATGGTAGTGGTGTAGTGGGTTAGGTTTAGTGGAGTAGGTGAGATGGTAGTGGTGTAGTGGGTTAGGTTTAGTGGAGTAGGTGAGATGGTAGTGGTGTAGTGGGTTAGGTTTAGTGGAGTAGGTGAGATGGTAGTGGTGTAGTGGGTTAGGTTTAGTGGAGTAGGTGAGATGGTAGTGGTGTAGTGGGTTAGGTTTAGTGGAGTAGGTGAGATGGTAGTGGTGTAGTGGGTTAGGTTTAGTGGAGTAGGTGAGATGGTAGTGGTGTAGTGGGTTAGGTTTAGTGGAGTAGGTGAGATGGTAGTGGTGTAGTGGGTTAGGTTTAGTGGAGTAGGTGAGATGGTAGTGGTGTAGTGGGTTAGGTTTAGTGGAGTAGGTGAGATGGTAGTGGTGTAGTGGGTTAGGTTTAGTGGAGTAGGTGAGATGGTAGTGGTGTAGTGGGTTAGGTTTAGTGGAGTAGGTGAGATGGTAGTGGTGTAGTGGGTTAGGTTTAGTGGAGTAGGTGAGATGGTAGTGGTGTAGTGGGTTAGGTTTAGTGGAGTAGGTGAGATGGTAGTGGTGTAGTGGGTTAGGTTTAGTGGAGTAGGTGAGATGGTAGTGGTGTAGTGGGTTAGGTTTAGTGGAGTAGGTGAGATGGTAGTGGTGTAGTGGGTTAGGTTTAGTGGAGTAGGTGAGATGGTAGTGGTGTAGTGGGTTAGGTTTAGTGGAGTAGGTGAGATGGTAGTGGTGTAGTGGGTTAGGTTTAGTGGAGTAGGTGAGATGGTAGTGGTGTAGTGGGTTAGGTTTAGTGGAGTAGGTGAGATGGTAGTGGTGTAGTGGGTTAGGTTTAGTGGAGTAGGTGAGATGGTAGTGGTGTAGTGGGTTAGGTTTAGTGGAGTAGGTGAGATGGTAGTGGTGTAGTGGGTTAGGTTTAGTGGAGTAGGTGAGATGGTAGTGGTGTAGTGGGTTAGGTTTAGTGGAGTAGGTGAGATGGTAGTGGTGTAGTGGGTTAGGTTTAGTGGAGTAGGTGAGATGGTAGTGGTGTAGTGGGTTAGGTTTAGTGGAGTAGGTGAGATGGTAGTGGTGTAGTGGGTTAGCTAGACCAACTAATTTCTTTTATGTCATGTAAGCTGTCAACCTGGCCATCATGGTTTTAAGGGCCATGGCCTTTTCAACATCCAAGGGCCTTGGGTCCATTCTTAAATCTTTTTGCGAATCCCGCCATTGGCTCGTTGATTTTTGAAACTAAGGGGCCAACTAACTCTTTGTAGACACTTTTCAACTCTTCTGCTAAGGAATGGTCAGGTGAGTTCATGGTCTTTGGACAACCATATTTTTGATTTCCTAAAAACTTCATAGGTTCAATTTCTTCATTATAGAGCATTGCCTCTGTATGATTTGTAGAAGTTACAAACGATTTTTTGTCTACCCAAACTACTTCCACATCTTTATCATTCCAAAATATAAGGAACTGATGAAGAGAGGAAGGAACAACCATGCAAGCATGTATCCAATCTTTACCCAACAGAACATTATAGGTTGCTTTAGAGTTAATGATAAAGAGAGGAGTAGTTAGGATTTTACCTGCCACAGCTAAATTCATGATCAAAATACCTTGAGAAATTATTGACCCTCCGGCAAAATCTATAATGTTGGCGTTGGAATATAGCAAATCATTCTCTATTTTGCCTAGTTTCTACATCATGGCTTTCGACATGAGATTGGCTGTGGAGCCATTGCCAAGAGCCTATTGACTGGAACACCATCTAGAAATCCTATGATGTACAAAGGACGAAGGTGATTGCTAGTTTTTGGACATGACTTCTCAAAAATGACACTTGCTGAGGCTGATACATTTCTATCTTCAGATTCATCCTTCAACACAATGATGAAAGGACTAATTTTTGCAGGCTGGAAAGACTTATGTTGATAGGAATCCTATAGAATTTTTGCTATCTCTCCATGCTCTTCAACATCTCCATAATGTAAGATGGATGTCCTTCCTGAGCCCTGAAAGACTGAGGCAGGACAAACACCATATTGCACGAAAATTTCTGAGTCGAAGTACCTGGTTTGCTTCCAAGAATGACCATCTTCTGCTGTGCCTTGTCTCCATTACCTTTCTGGCTGGCTAGGATTTCCAACGCAGGAGGCGGCTTGAGAAGGACTGAGGCATATGCTGCTGATTACTTCTAAACAGGAATGGGATCATCCTAAATAGGACTGGGCCATTTCTTGCATTCCCCTAGGACGACACTTCTTCCTAACCTTCTTCCTTTCTGGAGACTCAGTCCTGAATTTTTGGTCAGGATAATCTTCTAAAACTTCCTGTTGAACTTCTAAATCCTCCTGCTCTACCACACCTTTTCCCTTGGCCAATCTTGCAGCTTGTCTCTTCCATTATAAGCGACACTTTTGGGATCTCAACAAAGATAATTGAGGATTAAGGAACTTGGGATGTCTAACCTTTGTCCATCTTCCTAGAGGAATGACAGGAGGTTTGACAATTCTAGCTTGGCCTTGGGCAGGGACTGCGATTTTCAAGTTCTGCATTCCCTTGTGCAAATCGCCCTTGGTAGGCCGAAGTTGTTGGAAAATAGAAACTCTCTACTTGGGTTCTTCTATCTTCCTAGCAGGCTAATGAGACTCTACCCCATACTTGATGACTACACTTGATAGTCGGCTCCTTTCACTGAGGAACATGGCCACACTGAGTACATGTTGGGTTTGGGACTAGAGGTGTTCTTGCTGTTCATTCTTTAGATTCTGAGACCAGGAAGCTCTTCTGAACACTCTCTTACCTCATGGATAGGAATCATCATAGAAGTTTTTGTCTGACTCCCTTCAATTGTAGGAACGAGTTGGAAAGCTGTTGGAACGAGAAAAAGCTTCTAAGATAATCTTTTGATTAAGAGTGGTTCGTGGCATTCCTACCATGTTGACGGATACCCTGTTTGTGCCAAACTCCTTTGGAAAAGGATCACCATCTACTCCCATTGTAGGCTTTCCTCATCTTAAATTTTTTTTAATACAATGGCAGGAAATATTTATTTACTAAAATTTAGTAGATGATGGGATCCATATGCAAAATTGACAAAAGTTTGAGTAGAAAAGCAAGCAAGCAAAAGCACAAGCATGAGAAATATGCATGTTTAACTGGGTTTCTCCATAAGAATGTTTCTCGCCCCTTTACTTGGCTCCTACAAGTTTTAATTAAATTTTTTTAAAAACTTTGTGAAATATTATTCTATCTAAAAGCTAACTATATATCAACACAAAACAACATATTACAAAAGCTTGAAAGAAGCATAAAAGCATTACATGTATGTATGAATAATGTAGGTGTTATGATCACTATAAAAAATAAAAAAGCGACAAATATTTAACTGTTAGTCTAGGAACAATCCCATGCAAGTTTGAAAGTTGCAGAGAGCATAATAGGAAGGGGAAGAAGATGTTAGATCAAGAGTTTCATTATGATGTTATGATCTTCTCCCTTTATGTTAAGAGGTGCATAACATGTGGTTATAAGATTCAAACCATCTGTTGAAAGTCCCTGACCAAGGGCACAAAGTTCAAGTCACTACCTCTCTCAAGCCCTATTAAGAATTAGATTAAAGGTGTAAACTGAGCACCACCCATACACAAAAGCAAGACAAAAGAACAACTCAAGCCCTCCAAGAAGGCCAAAGGAAGCCTCAACAAGAACTCAACCCTTCAAAGAGGCCAAAAAGGACACTAAGTAAACAAAAACACTAATGAACTAAACCAAGACACTAACAAGAATTTATTGACAACCATCAACAAACCCCTCAAGTTAGTGAGAAACCAACAAAACAAAAACAGAAACAAAAGCAAACATCTACAATAGACCAAGGGGTAGAACACCTGACCAACCACTATCAAGTTCAGTATCAAGTCCTTAATGTGTAGTATGCCTAATCTGTTGCATATTGGAGATTACCTCTTGCACTGAATACATGATATAGAATTTCGTACTTCTTGGTATAATAAAAATATATTTGACTCCTTAATTATCATAATTACCAACCAAAAACAATAGACATTCCTATATCAAACACTCTTCATGTCTCACAATCATCATAGTTTCATACAACTTCATTTGATTATCGAACAATGTTCATAATACTTCAACTTTCTCCAATGATTTCCCTCAACTTGTTTACTTATAACCAACAATATTTTAATCAAAGCTTCTCATTTCTTGCAATATCAAAATTTCACAATTCTTCTTAACTCTACCTTTCAAATTCCTATACCAAACTCTTATTAAACCCTTACATTACATAGATGTAATACAAATATATGCAAAATATGAATGCATTCCCAAGGTTTTATTCTAAGAAATCCTAATGCTCAAATGGACGAGTGTGTGGGTAAAGTAACTCATGTTCTAATACCACTATGTCACGTCCTCAACCCGCCCCTAAAGGTAGAGAGGCAACTGACCAATAATCTTGGATTACCGAAGGCCTATCTTGACAAAATACAAAACATTTAATAGAATAATGGGGTTACAAATGGATGGTTTTTTTTTTTTATTTTCACAACAACTAATCAGAAAAATAAACTTGTCCATTGAGCAGTGCGTAACTAACATGAAAGTATTACATATATTACTATTACATTACCCACACAATTAAATAAAATACAACCATTCACAAGACACAATTGCATGGTGTAGACTCTTCAAAATTTGTCCCAAAAGAAAGTAAACAATAGACTCAACTCAAGCGACAATTCCCAATAGGCTTTTTCAAGGGTCTTCAAATGCAAACTCTAAGGTTGCTCTTCGTGTTGCTCACCTATACACACACATATATATATATGGGAAAGGAGTGAGCTAAAGCTCAATGAATAGTAATAAAGTAAGGCGGTAAATGAATGAACATTGAAAACTTTAAAAACATTCTTTCAAAATAACATAATTTCTTGTACAAGACAAAGCATAACTTGACTTGCAAACAAAATACATAGTGATGAGCATTCAAGGAAAACAAGGTGCTTAACCGACTGGGTACCAGCTAAACGTAACAAGATGAGCTCGGCCATATCAAGGTGATTGGATATTCCCCCAATCGTGGGACAAGGTCCAAGGTGATTGGATATTTCCCCAATCATGGGACAAGGTACAAGAATGCCATCTGGGTACATAATACAAAAAGTATAGAATGTTCATTCATAATAAAACATAATAAACTTGTAAACATAACCAAGTTTGGTATTGAAAACATAATTTGTCAAATATAGCGTTACTAAATTACTACTCACAGTGGGCTTGGTCCCGATAATGCTATGGTCTGACCTACGTGATGCATATACACATAAACATCGGTAACAAATTACAATTAATTGAACCTACATTTCGTTTCTAATTAATTTAATTAAATTCTTCCTTTGGTTTTCTAATCAAGTAATTTATGTTAATTCCTAACTTACTTAACTCTTAATTAGATTTAATTCATGCCTAAAGATACTTGGAAACAAATGAGAAAGAAAATATTATCAAAGTTAGTTTTCAAAACTTGGCTGATACAGGGTCTCCGCTCGAGCGGTCCTTTCACTGCTCGAGCTTTGAACTTGGTTCCTCAGAATTTCAGGCAGCCTGTAAAGCAAAAATACTGGATTCCAATCATCTTCGCTCGAGTGGTTTGCAACTTTCCCGTTTCAAAAATTATGAAAATTCAACTTCCAAAACTCAATTCCATGGCTAGGGTTCATGCAAAATTTCATCCAAAACTTGTAATTCCATTAATAAACATAAGAACATGACATATTCCCAATTCTTTTGCATCAAAATCTTATTAATTCCAAAATTAAACTTAAAATTTCATGAACTTGATATTTACCAAACCCTTCTTTCTTTTTCTTTTGATCATGAAATTAAAGTCTCAAAACTTGTAAAAATCACGAGGTATGCAAAGATTGAGTTCAAATTCATGAAGGATTAATTAAATAATAGAAATCAAACTCATATAATTAATTTCTAGGCCAATTTCTTTGTACCTAAATTAATTGAAGTTTCCTTATTCGTTTCCTAATTTCTTTATATTTTCATGGAATTGAACCCTATTACTTCTTAAATTCAGCTATTTCATAAATTTCTTGCAAGAATTAGGCTTAGATTTCTTACCTAGAACTTTATTGAGTTTCTAGTGTTCGTCCTTCAATTTTCCAGCACAAAACTTGAATTCTTCTTCTCTCATCTTTGTTCTTCAGCACAATGAGCTCTCTCTCTCTCTCTCTCTCTCTCTACAAAATGTTTTGAGCCAAATGGATATTCATGAGCTCACCAGCACACATATACACAAACACACCCTCTCAAACTTTCCAGAACACATCCAACCCTTTGCATTTCTTATATTTAATTATTTACAATTGGTTTATTCACTAATTATGTATTAGGTTAGTTAATCACAACTTAATCCAAATAATTACTACTTAACTTAATTCTTCCAATTAATCTCAAATTAAATCTTTAATTTAATTATTCCTAATTTTATTAATATGAATCAAATTTTTAATTAAACTCTCATAAAGTTCTATATATTAAATTGATTCAATTAAACTCGTCACTTATGATTTCTTAAATCATTTTGACTTTGAATTTCTGATTCTAAATAAAAGCTTTACATTTAAAGTTGAATTTATTAAGGGTATGTTTGGTTTGACTTTGATAAAGTAGTTTTTAAAAATTGTTTTGGGGAGAGAGTTTAGAAAATTTTTTGGTTTATTTGGTTATATATTTTGAAAGTCGTTTTAGAGTTTTGGAGTTTAGAATGATTTAATATTTTGTTATAATTAAGTAGATGTGTGTGAGAGAAAAAGAAATTGAGACGAAGAGAGGAGAGAGAAAAAGTGATTGATTGATGTATAAGAGAGAGAAAGTGATTTTAGAAAGAGAGATGATATAGAGCCCGAATATAGGGACTCGAATTTGGCTCGAAATTAGAGGAAAGAAGAAGGAGGAGGAAGAGGAGGAGAAGAAGGAGAAAAAGAACTGGAGGAGCCAACAAAATCGGGCGGAGGTGGAGGTGGAGGTGGAGGTGGAGGCGGAGGCGGCGGCAGGCGGAGGCAGAGGTGGAGGCGGGGCTGCGATGCCGACGAGCGACGAGGGACGAGCTGCGAGATCGGCGGACGAGCTGCGAGATCAGCCGACGAGTTGGGACGCCGACGAGCTGCGACGACGATGACCTGCGTTCTCGCTCTCGCCTCTGTGTTCTCTCTCTCGCCTCTGTTCAACTCAACGAAGAAGAAGAAAGAAAAGGAAGAAGAAAAAAAAAATCAAAATCCAAAACGACGTCGTTTTGGGTTTTGAGCCAAATTCGAGCCCCTAATTTCGGGCCCTCAAACATTATTCTTTTAGAAATTGTTTTGGAAAAATTACAAACCAAACAAGTTTTTTAGAAAAATTTTCCCAAAATCACTCTACAAAGCCAAACTAAACATATCCTACGTTTCTCCATCTTTCATTTGGTTGACTCAGGGCTATTTTGGAAAGATGGTTATAATCAGTTTTTTGGTTAAAAGCTGATTATAAGCTGATTATAATAAGCTTTTTGTGAGAGAGGGAAGTGGGTTATAATTTGAAAAGTGGATTATAACCCACTTCCCAAAAGACCCCTCAAGCTAGATGAACACACTAATTATCTTTTAGCATAATTAATCACTTTTTAATCTTAATTAATTAATTATATACAGTTGTCATGTTAATTAATCTAATGAATCTTATTGAGTCTTAATTTATTTATTTTTTAATTAAATTTAATTAAGTTCCCACAAGCTTTACACATTAGACCAAACTTATTATACTCCTCATTGTGGTTTCTGAATCAGCTAATCATTCAATTCTTGATTCAAAACATATCTCTTTTAATTTAATTCCTTTCATTAACTCATTAGTCTTGATTTAGTTTAATTAATTAAGTTTCATATTTAATTCTACATTACCTAATTAATCTCAATTAAATTAAATTAATCTCGTCTAATTTTCGTTAACCAGTTGATCTGATTGATTTTTCAATGAAATCTCTAAAATATTCTAAACATTAAATTAAGGTATTAAGCTCTTCAATTAAAGTTTCTAAGATGCCCAATTATTTCAATTTCAAGTTTGAAGTTGTCCTTTAGCTCAATTTTATTTGTGAAAATTTAATACGATTGCTTTCCTTAAAATTGATCCAATTGTTTAAGTCTCATAATTTTAATCACATATACCTTTTTTAAATTCTTTGCCATTATATTTATATTCGAACATTCCATCTTAATAGTTCATATTTTCATTTCTAGAATATTATATAATCATTAAATTATAGGGAAAGTTACCAATAAATCGTAAATGTTGAAATTGTACTCCATTTAGTCCTAACTTTTTTCTTTCGATCTATTTGGTCCGTTCTATTGCTGAATAACGTAAATACCACCACATATTTTTCTGAACGCTTGAATAGGTGATGGTGTGGTGTGGCACAACCTCATGTTTGTGTGTTTCTGAAATTTGTGTTTGACACGTGTCACATTGAGGGTGATCGGTGGGTGCCACACATCAACAAAGTGCACTAAGGCTCTTTATGCTTTTTGCCTTAGAATAATGTATGTCACGTGACACACAGTGTTTGGCACGTGTCACATTGAGGGTGATCGGTGGGTGCCACACGTCAACAAAGTGCACTAAGGCTCTTTATGAGGGTGATCGGTGGGTGCCACACGTCAACAAAGTGCACTAAGGCTCTTTATGAGGGTGATCGGTGGATGCCATACATCAACAAAGTACACTAAGGCTCTTTATCTTTTTTGCCTTGGAATGATGTATATCACGTGACACACACAAGGAAGGGTATATTTGACCACTCAATGTTACTAAACAAAGGAAATAGGATCAACTGGTAAGATATTCCCCCACTAATAGGACTAATCAGAACAATAGAAATAACCTTAGGACCAATCGGTAAAAGTGTTTGTCAGATAAGATTTATTGGTAAATATCCCTAAATTATAGTACATATATATTTATTTATGTCATGTAATACTGTATTTGGTGTGGTATATATTTACTTTGACAACTTAGGAGGTGATTACTTTTTAACTTTTACTAATTGACAAGGGAGCTCATATAGTCAAAACTTATTATCTATATTCTTTTTAACCATTTAGTTAACTATTTTATATTATAAGATAACTAATTTGGTTTAAAGCGTTTAAATTGGATTATAGTATGTTTTCCGTAAATGGTATTATTCGAGTTGTTATACAAATAGCTCGCGAACAATGAGGTTTTCCCCTTCTCCAAAGCTTAACCTACACAAAGTATAAACAAGACATTGGAAATATCTTAACCTACAAATTCTTAAATCAATTCAAGCGTTTTAGTTTAATTTAGCATTTTCTAAAGGATCTCTAGTCCCAACTCAAGTCTTTTCTAAATGTTAATCAAGTGCAAAGCATGTACCAAAGACGTACTTTGAAAGGCCTTAAATGTTCATGACTTACTGTTTCTTAATCTTTCTAGGCTCAAATTCAAGTGTTAATCATGTACTAAATGTGCATATTGAAAAGCCCTAGGTACCCTACAACAATTTCATATGTTTTGTATTGAAAATATCATGTTTAGATGTCAAAGGTTTTACGGAAATAGAAAGGAATGAAAGAAAGCTAAGCTAGGAGAGCAATTAGCATGAAATGGTTAGGAAGAAAATGAGCAACCTTTACTAATTTAAACATATCTTTTTGTATACTTAGATTTTGGATGTGGTACCATCACCACTGGAAACTAGACTTTCGGAGCTTGAATTTAGACACAAGAATTGCTTAAAACCGAGTCCGGATGGAGAGATATGCTCATTTGAAATTGCAAGATAAAAGAAAGTGGGCTGAAATAGGGATTGGCCTTATATGCGCTCACCTTGGTTGCACGTGCAATGGTTTGGCCGCTCGTGCGGTGGCCTAGGTCACACAAGCAGTGGCTCAAGTCAGGGAAGATTATGTTTTGTGCGCTCGTGCGGTCTACGTGTAGACATCTCATTTTTGACCACTCTTAAAACTTGGGCACCTTAGGTTGGTCACCTGTAGACGTCCCCGAACGCCCCGGGAGGGATGGCTCCCGTTCTGTTCATTTGGGCTCACTACAGTTCGGACTCAAATTTGTCACGGTTCTAAATCTGAACCAAAGAGTCCAAATCCGGCAAATCGTTTTGAGAAAACAGATTTTGAAAGAAGTGCCAAACCATGGACTGCTTTGCCAGATACAGAGTCGCCACCTAAATATTTTATTTTTGAGGGAAATTAAGAAACCCTGTACTCGTTTGCCTAAGCCACCGTGTCCGTTATTACTCTCAAAGTTGCCTCGGCTCGGGACTTGGGTTACATTGGCAGAAGGTCACTTCATGAGCACCCCCGCTCGCCCGTCAAAGATCTGGCTCTACTAACCATGAGATCCTATTTTTGAAACATTAATGCGTTCTGTTATTCCGGTTATTAGCCCTAGATTTACTATTGATGGCACATCATACAAGTATAGACTGGATTCGCCGAATTGGAACAAAAAATTTCATGTTTTGTTTGTTTTTGAATTTAATTGGTTTGAATGTTGCTTACTCGCAAGTAGGCTAAGCCGTGGATTTGCCACCCTCTAGGTGGGCTTAGAAAAACCTTGATTTTGCCACTATCTAGTGGGCTTAAAACACACATTTGATGAATTGTTCCAATCAATACCCAACCTTCACCCACAGGCATTCAGTTAGTTATATCACATAAGCATATAGCTCATTGGTAAGCATGCATTCATGGCAGTCACTCACACGCATGCCATAGGATGCAAAGCATAAAACTTACCGAGACTCCAAGCCAAAACAGTAAGTCTAATTAGAAATCCATGCATTTGATCCTAATTATACGAAATGCCTAATGCAACACATGCAAAAAATGCAACTATAGCAAGGCTCGGACTATTCTAAACATGGCATATGATAATGCTACAGCTAACATGTATCAACCTTTGGAATTAAAATACAATGCAGTTAGTATGATGCGCCGAGGCCCGCGTGCATTGCAAAATTAGTATGAATCCAATGCCAAACATGCTATCATACTGTATGCTAATGGAAACATGCCCTAATCTAACCATCATAAGCGGTGTAATAAAAGGAAAAATTGGGGTAGAAGACATACATCACACACACCGCACCACTTATAATACAACATTGCCCTCGCGCCAGCCTAGGGTCCGAAAGAATAGTACCTAGTCCCAAATGAATAAAATAATACAGTCCCGAATAAATATTACAGTCCAAATAATTACAAAATCCTAATTAAATTACAAGTTTAACTAAGAAAGCTGTAAACTAGCATGCAAGCTAGGGACTGCCTCGACTCCGCTCCGGATGATGAATGATGCATGCTCGGGTTGCTTGGCACGGAAATCCACTGCGATGCCCCAATTAGCCTCTGTTTGCGATTGATGCCGGAATGCTGTGCAAGGCTTTTGAAAGGCTACTGATTCTTGATTTGTTGCAACAG